GCCCTGTGTAGCTGTACAACCTCCCTTCCTCACTTCTACCCTCCTGCCTCGCTCTCCTCTCTTCTGTCCTCCCTCCCTTCCATCCTCCCTCTCTCCTCCTCCACCCTTCCTTCTCCTCCCTCCCTTCCTTCTTAACGCTTCCTTCCACCATGGGTCTGGTCTGGGAAGGGCAGTGGTGTGGCCCACACGTGAGCATAGTCTCTGCAGATGTGCACATTTCCTGCGCACGTGCCACGGAGTCTGGCGTGTTCCAGCATGTATATGTGCTACAGCATGTGTTGCAGGGGGAGACGTGCACGTGAATCCCACGCCTGCCCCCCGTGCACACACATCAGAGGCTCCGCAGGTGCCTCCGGGGCACCGTGGTCCCTTTGGTTCCTCTGCAATTCTGTTTTGTGTGGATTGCAGGCGAGTGGTCACATTTAGGAACAGGAAAGCTCCCGTAGCCATGGTGAGCGCCAGGCAGTGGGGCTAAAGCTCATTCCCTCCCCATCCCCTTTTCAGGAGCACCCCATCGGAGACAAGAGCTTCCAGAACTACATCCGGCAGCAGTCCGAGACCCCACCTATCTCATTGAGTTCATGGACGCCAGTGGGCGCCAGTAGCTGCCCAGGCAGAGCCGCAGCCTTCTTGGGAGGGAGAAGAGAAGGGAAAAGCACAGAGCCAGCACATGAGACGTGAGCCGCTGGGGCCTCCATGGACAAGTGGTGCTGGGGCTTCCAGAACCGCCTTCGCCACTCCCCACAGAAAGCCCACTCTGGCCTGGTGGACTGCCGTCCTTCGGTTCTGTGCTTTTGGCTCTTTGTTTGTGGGGTTCTGGGGATCAGCTGAAGGATCAGGGAAGTGGGGCTGTGTTTCCAGCTGCAGCCAGCCTCAGGAGCCGTGGCCCGCCCAGGGGCCGGCTGTGACCTGCATCTCCATCCTGTGTGCTTGTCTCACGTGCACGCCTGTCTGGCGTGCAGACGGTGCGTGTGGCACTGGGCTCTGTGGCTCTGTGCCCGTGGGGCCTGCTGGGCCCTGGGCCTTGCTTTCTGCTTCATCACATTAAGACGTCTAGAGCATTACTTCCCACTGTGCCTGGTGGCCCCAGGCGGCGTGGGAGGCGGTCTCCCTTAAGCCCACTTTTGAGGTCTTCGTTTGATTCCTGGCTGAAGAGTCAGTTTCAGGCTGGGAGGTGCAGAACTACACAGAAATCCCAGTCTGAGGATGTCCTTGTGCTTGGGGATAGCGAGTTCTGGTCTTACAGAGTCCCCTTGGAGGGAAAAGTGTGGGCTCCAGCTTCTCCAGGTGCTTGCTGAGCCCACAGTTGAAGCCCTATTGTTTTGCTGTTCAATGTGGGGTTTAATATCAGAATTAACATCTGCCACCCCCGTGAAGTTTGAAGATTTTTGCACAGAAATGCATTTTTCAAGCTGTTTTTCTTTATGTTTTTTAAGGACTATTTTTAATTAGCTCTTTGATACAAAGTAACCTAACGTTTCACAAAACTTATAATTCTACTAAAGGAAGGCTGCTGGGAAGGCAAATGAACAGGGAACGGAGGCTGTCTCTAGTGTTTAGCTGCAGGTCCTCAAGAAAATCAAAGAAGGGAAGAAATTCTGAGTTTGAGGTAGAGGGGCTTCAGGGTGCAGATGTTCCTCCAGCCTATGGTCAGTATTGCGCCTGCGCCATGAACCCCAGATGCTGTGCAGGGCAGGGGCGGGGCTGTTTTACTGGGGAGGGAGCATCCTAAATTGAATATCCAGGCAGACCTCCAGACCTCACACCGAGGGAGGCCTTTCCCACAGGGCGCTCCTCCCGGGATGTAAGAGACAGCAGGGGTGTGGGAAGCGCTGCTTGAATACACAGCACGACGCACTCTCTTGTACTGACTTCTCCCGGTTCTTGTTTGAAACAAGCAGTTCAGACTCTTAATCTCCGTGAGAGATAATGAAACTTTATGTCACAAAACTAGTGAGAAAATGTTGTAAATATAGACTTTTGGACACACAGCTGTTGGGGCTGCAATTTTTACCTTGGATTTATAACTTAACGTTTCTGTTTATAAAATACTAGTGATTTGCAAATTTATTTTACTGGCCAATTAAAACAGATGTTTTATTCTTTCTGAGGACTGGCTTGGTTTGGTAGGGGTACCCCACTGGAATCGGGTACATGCGGGGCATTGGTGGGGGGTACAGGAGAGGGGGTGGCATCTGGGAGCAGGATGACATTGCTGGATGCCAGGCGACGTCTCTGTGACGGGTGACGCTGCTCTGACAGGTGGCAGTGTCTTCTGATGACAGGTCAACACATTGCTGACACCAAGTGAATTCTGGCAGACAGCAGTGCTGCTCTGACAGGTGACGGGATACCGCTGGTAGACACCCCAATGACAGGTCTGGCGACAGGTGACATTGCTGGTGACAGTTGACGCCTCTGGTGACGGACGGCGCTGCCTGACAGTGGCATTCACCTGTGTTGCTCGGTGGAGTTCGGTCTCGTGATACCTCAGGAAGGGTGTGGGCCACAGTGCTGAGGGCTGAGGGTCGAGGCTGCCAAGGGCCGTGGGGATGTGGCTGGAGATGGTGTCCACTCAGGGGGAGGCAGGCAGCGACCAGCCCGGGCTGCCATCTCTAGGAATGTGGAGGTGCAGTGACCTGGAGGCCCTGGGAGGAGAGAACGGACTGCCCCTCCAGGTGGCTGCTGTACGTCCAGGCAGGAGGGTTAAGGGGACTGGGTGAAGACGCCATGGCTAGGGACAGCTGATGCATTTCTCACTTTCATTCTTCTCACTGTACACTGAATCTTCTGCTTGGTGTAATTTGACAGAGCCTCTGGTATAAAGAAAAATGAGGAGGTGTGGGCTTTGGGACACTGGGTTGAGGCCTTCTCCCAGGAAGGGTGAGGCTTGGCTCGCCTGGCCGCCTCTCAGTCCGCAGGTAGGGGTCTGCCCTGTGGTCCGGAGTGGCTGTGGTGGTGGATCTAACCCCTGCAGGTGGGGACATCCCTCCCCGGGAGGCCATGCCCTCCTGGAGCCACCCGGCAGGGCTTCAGACAGTGTTGGGAGCCAGGGGGCTCCTGTCACACTCCGGGCACAGCTGTGCTCGGGTCAACCCAGGAAGGCTAAGGCCCTCCAAGAGGAAGTGAGAAGGGCGAGGGACGACGAGGCCCTCTAGGAACGTGGAGAATGGAGCCCTCCCCGAACAGCCAGGAGGGTCCTGCGGGCCGTGGGAGGTGGGAGGTGGGGAGTGTATAGGGGCCAGAAGTTTCCTCTCCGTTTCCCACTGATATGGTTCGACTGTGTCCCCACCAAACTCCTCATCTGAATTGCTCCTATAATTCCCTATGGTGGTGGGCGACCTCTGTGGGAGGTGATTGAATCTGTGTAGGAAGTGGGCTCTAATGGGAGGTGATTGAATCTGTGGTGGGCGGCTCACGGAGGTGATTGAATCTGTTTTAGGAGGGCTCACGGGAGGATTGAATCTGTGTGGTGGGCGGACCTCAGTGGGAGGTGATTGAATCTGTGTGGTGGGCGGGCCTCTGGGTGGGAGGTGATTGAATCTGTTTTGTGGGCGGACCTGGTGGGAGGTGACTGAATCTGTGGTGGGCGGGACCTCGTGGGAGGTGACTGAACTGCTCAGGGAGGGCCCACGGGGAGGTGACGGAATCATGAGGTGGTCTCCAGGTCTGCTCTCGGTGGTGAAGCACTGGGATCCTGGCTGTGGAATGTTTTATGAGGGGTTTCCATCTGCGCTTTGGATTCATTCTCTCCTGCTCCTGCCATGTAAGAGGTGCCTTTGCTTTCCGCCATGACTGCGGGGCCTCCCCAGCCACGCGAACGAATCCATTCAACCTCTTTTCATAAATTGCCCAGTCTCATGTGTGAACTTTACTTCAGCAGCACGCAGTACTGACTGGATGCACCCACCAAGAGACGGCAGGTGGCTTTGCGGAGACCTCTCGGGACACTCATTGGCTCTTGTTGCTCCAGACGACCCAGCACTTGTTGGGAGCCAGACAACAGCCTCCGCCTCCCATCCTGGCAGCATCCGTGACTCCCGGCGATCAGGAGATCTTAGACAGGTGCCCTCTGAGGAACTGGCCCCAGGAGGCCAGGCAGTGCCAGAGTGCGTGAGGCCAGGTTTCACCTGCACTCCACTACTGACACCCAGAGAGCTGAGGCCTCTGGGGCGCTGAGTGGCTCTGGGCTCTTCAAAAGAAGAGACCGGAAGGGGAGGGGAGCCCTGGGCCTGGGGGTCACACCTGCTTCCCGACGCCTGAGGGAGCCCCAGGCACAGGAAGCAGGTCCTGGGGTGCACCGCCTCGCAGCAATGCCCGTAGCCGCCAAATAAGCTGCCACGCCTTGTAAGGGTTGTTTTGAGCTGATTTGTGCCATCCAAGGAGGAGCAAGAACGCGTTTTCTTCTCTGGCTCTGGAGAGCGTCTTCCTGCGGGGTGCCTTCCTTCTCGGGAAGGAAAGGCCCCTAGCCACAGACTCAGGCTGGAGCCATGTCTTCCTCTTCCAGCTCATCTGCCGATTTTAATTCTTGGGTCCAACCAAAAACACTGAGAGGTAAAATGCTACCTCCCACCCACCCCAGTCTGAAGGTAGGAGATTTTCTATTCGACTCAGTACAGGCTGAGCTCTGTCCCCGCAAATCCTAATGAATCCTCGTGGCTGGAGCTTTCGTGACCCGCGGGACTCGTGACCCCAGGGGTGTGGCTGCGCTTGTGGGGAGTTGCAGAGATTGTGAAGGTAAAGCGAGGTCGGAAGTGGCTCCCTGACCTCGGGTGGCTGCGCGCCCTATGAGAAGGGGAGACGGGGACGCAGCACACAGGACGACCACGTGAGGACACGGAATATCGAGGATGCAACACACAGGATGACCACGTGAGGACACGGAATATCGAGGACGCAGCACACAGGGACGGCTCACGTGAGGACACGAATATCAAGGACGAGCACACAGGACGATCACGTGAGGACACGAATATCGAGGACGAGTACAGATCACCACGTGAGGACACGGAATATCGAGGACGCAGCACACAGGACGACCATGTGAGGACACGGAATATGTCCTCTTCGCGCCAAGGAGAGAGCCTGGGGGAGCCAGCGCTGTGAGACACCTTGCCCCTGGCACCGGAGGGAATGGGCTCCCGCTGTTTAAGCCGCCTGCCTGAGCAAAGCCACACGGACCGGCCAGCAAGGCCTCGCCGGAGCCCCGGCCACAGCAGGGTTTCGTCCTGGTGCCGTGTGGCTGGGGGGAGACGTGGGGCCGGCAGCGTTTGCACCCCACCACTGCCTGCAGGGCTGCCTTTGTCTTCGTGAGTTATCTGTGTCCCGTTTGCCCTGATAGGGAGAGAAAGACTCAAACCCCGTCACAGAGGGAGACCCGCGTCTGTGCTGCAGGCAGCCTTGTTAGGGCCTGGTGCCAGTTCCCCGCCCTCCCTGGTGGAGAGACCAGAGACGTGAAAACACAGAACCCGCCCCAGCCCCGACCTGCACAGAAAGCCATGCTGTGCTGCCAGGGACCAGCCAGTCTTTGGCCTCTGACCTCACAGTGATGTCACAGCAGGCCCCTGGCAACAGCGCACCCAGCACCTCCTGACTACTCCCTGCGGGACGGCTGGGTGTGAGGGTGGCAGACTTGCGCTCGGGCCGAGGCTGGGCTGGAGGATGGAGAAGGACACGGGGAACACACACGGGAGGCACCGGCCCCGCCCCAGGGTCCTGCCCTCAGGAGTGGCCCTTGGGCACCTCAAGGCGGCCATCGAGGCCTCTGAACTTCAGCGGAGCAGGAGTCTGGAAGGCCTGCAGCTCAAGGGGGACCCTCCCAGCCACCCTAGGAAGCCTCGCAACAAGCCAGGTAGGGGCTGTGGGGCTGCGGGGAGCGGGTGGACGGCGTGGCTCCTCCACCAGGCCCTGAACCCAAAGTACCCACGTCAGGGCCCAGCCAGTTAGAAAGTCACTTCCCAAGGTTAGGGACGCGCCGAGACAGCCCCAGGAGGTCCGACGACGTGTGTCCAAGGCGGGGCACAGCCCAGTGTCGTACATTTTAGGGGGACGTGGGGCATCAATCAGTCCCTGTGAGGGTTATGCTGGTTCTGTCCAGAAAGGGACAGCCCGAGGCAGGAGGGGCTCCCAGGTGGTACGTAGAGGAGAGACAGGACTGCATTCTTCTGGGTCTCGAGCAGCCTTTCACTGAACACACAGTTTACACGTGAGGGGTTAGCGGGAGAGTCCCTTGTACCCTAGTCCAGCTCAGTGACTGTAGTTTTACATAAGCAGCCCGGAGGAAGCCGTCAGACACACTTGTCTCAGGTGAGCAGAGGGAGGACGGTGATCTCCGTCCCCAGTCAGCTGCCCGTCTGCATTCCCCGCGTGAAACTCCGCAGAACTGCTTGGGGCAGAGCTCGTGAGGCTCGTAGGGCATTTCCTCCTGGGTGAATGACGAGGTGACCTGTGGTCGTTTGTCTCTGCGGCTGTTATTTAGGAAGAGGATGGGAGGCAGGTTTGCCTGACACATTCCCAGCCTGACTCTTCCCCTTAGCTCAGTGATTTGGAGCCCAAGATTCGTTTTCCTTCCACAGGCAGCAGGGACCGGGCCAGGCCTCCTGCCTCCCACTGCCCTGTGCTCAGAACGTAAGGGTGGAAGAGGGGACCATTCCAGGTCCACACCTGTAACCCACCCAGGGCTGCCGGGAAGGCCTTGCACTGCTGGGGCAGAGCTGTGGGGCTCCAGCCGGGCACAGCCAAGGGCGGGAGGGGTGAGAGGAGGGCAGGCCCGGGACCCTCATGGGCCTCTGAAGCCAGCCGATGCCTGGAGAGAGGACCATGGCCAGGCCCCCCATTTGCAAGGAGGCCCTGGGTCCCTGCGGGAGCCTCGGACCTCGCCCACCAGCGAGGAACCTGCGTAGCTGGTGTTTGACGCGGATGGCTTCCAGACCGTGAAACATGTAGACTGCATCTGTGTCAGTCCACGCTCGCCCCTCAGATGTTTCCAGGTGTGCTGAACGGACAGTGGCCTGGGCACGGTGCTAGAGTCACCCCATCACACCTCGAATACCGGCCCAGAGCACAGGGCTGAGGTGCTGACACGGAGGTGCGAGCGGGCGTCCCCTCCCCCCCCCCCCCCCCCCCCCCCCCCCTGCGGCCTTGGCAGCTCTGCCTCCCCTTCGCAAAGGTGGCCACAGGGCCGTGGAAGTGAAACAGCCCAGTAGGACTCAGGGTTTGCTCAAGCCCTGGAGACAATTGTAAGAAGTAATGATGTAAAAATATGTGTTCTCCGAGTTTAAAAATCCAAAGATGTGCTGTGTGGGGGTGTGAGCTGTCAGGAGGCTGCACCCCACCTCCCTCCCCACGGGATTCCCTCAAGACGTGCAAAGTTCTCAAAAGAATAAGTTACACCAAGGCTGCTTAGCGGGGATTTAAGTAGGGGCAGGGAGCAGGTCTCGAACAGTGCTGCCCGGTGCCACCGCAGTGTGGACTCAGAGTCCGGGGTTGGACGGAGGGAGGGACCGAGCCCCATCGTGGCTGACATTTCCCTCAACACCTGCTGGATTTGCCCAAAACCGCATGATGGGAGGAGCCGCAGCAGGGAGACCGGGCTTCTGTGGGGCTGCTTGTCCTTTCCGGCCAAGATGTCCACCCTGCACAGCCTCCCCCAGGCACCAGCGCCCTCGGGGTCTGAGACCACGACCCAGGAGCGCATCTCCCGGGAGCTTGGTGGCTGCCCCCAGGCAACTGAGATTCTGCCGGAGAAAAGCAGGAGGCATTTCCAGCCCTGTGACCCCAGGAGATGGGCCGGGCCTTGCCAACCACCGGCAGAGTCAGATGTTCAGCTCCTCGTCCCGCACAGACTTGGTGGGCTCGATGACATGCACAGTGCCACGTGCACCCACAGGTGCCTGGATGTGTGAGACGCCGCGTCCACATCACAGGGAGGCCTCCGGGATGCGGGAGAGGTGGGGTGGCCAACTTCACGGGGCACCAGTGCGGGCAGAGGGTGTGTCTGGGCCTGGGCCACGCGGAGCACAGGAGACCAGCGCTCACGGAGGGCAGCCCAGAGGCATAAAGTGGTCCCGAAAAAAGACTACTAGAAACACCCCGCGATGCGCCTCGGAGAGCCCGGAGAACCTGGGGATTGGTGGATTTTCCTGGACAAGCCAAGAGGGGTGTCAGGTCCCACCTGTCTGTGAGAGGAAGCCTGGATAGAGGGTGGTAGCCGCATGGGCAGGTCTTGGGGTCTTGTCCCACCCTCATGCTCAGCTACCTCCAGCCAGCTGCACTAGGACAAAGAGGAATGGCACGAGGTCCCGGAGCCTCTTGCGTTTACTGTAAGGCAGCTGGCCATCCCTCGCCCTGAGTCCTGCAGGGAGAAGGTGGAGCCGGGGGTGGGCTGAGCTGCTGGGACTGAGCTAGGCTCAAGGCCCCGGCACCAGGCTGTGGAAAGTGCTGGCAGCAAATACAGGAGGGGTCGGGCTTGGGCACGGGTGGGGGAGAAACTCAGGTTAGCCGTAGCCACGGCTGAGAGTTGAGCTCTGCTGTGGGTGGCTGTGGGCGGCTCTGGGCAGGTCCTGAGCTCCGGTAACTGTGGTGTGATGGTGCTGACGGCTCTGTCCTTCCTCCCCAGAGTCCGAAGATCAAGGGAAAGACCCAAGCAGTAGCAGGGAAGATGCCAGCTGGTAAGTGGCCTGTCCGGCGCTGGCCTGGGTAAAGGCGGAGCTGGGAAAAGTGAGGCGGACACGGGAGAGGGTGGGGCGTGGGGGTGGCACCCGGGCATCAAGGTAGACACTTAGAAGGGGACCGAGGGAGCCCTGGGTGCTGAGAAGACCCTGCCCAGGGCCCGGATGGGAGGGCTGGGAAATCCTCCTTCTTTTGAGAGAGAATTCAGTGTGGGAACGGGGCCCACCTGTAGGGGGTGGTGTCCTCAGGACTCAGGCCCTGACCTGAGGGTCACAGCTGCATCCCTGTCAGTAGACAACCCATGGCCCTCTGGGGAAGGAGGCGTCGTCTCACTGGTGGACTGCTGGGCCAACCCTGGATGTAAACAACTTGAGTGACCCTTTAGGGAGGGGGCATGGGGCCCTGGATGGCACAACCTCACTTCGTACCGCCGAGTTCTTGCCTCCTTGCACCTCGTGTCCCGTCCCACCCCAGCTCTGGTTCTCCCACCCACTCACCCTCTTGCCATCAAACAAGACTTAAAAGTCCTTGAATTCCTCAAGAATTTGTCTCAGATCTAACAAAGTCGATTTACCACCACCATGGACAAGGCACGGGCCAAGTCCACCTTCTTTACAAATGGCTCCCATAGAGTGGAGACCAAGGAAGGCGTCCAGTCGCCAAAGTGGCCAAAGGTGCAGTCAGTTGGTGAGAGTGAGTGTTCATGCGTCAGAGCGATGTGTGAGGCGTCTGGAGCCTCCCACCCTGTAGAGCTCAGGGGAGCTGATGGCCTTGGTGAGGGCAGTGGAGGTGGGAAGACCACACACCTTTAGGGTGGCACAGCTGAAAGTGTCTGCTCACGTTGGCCAAGTCAACACCCTTGGCCAAGTCAACACCATTGCAGATGGGGCAGAGCCCGTCATCCTCACTGCCTGTTGCGTTCCTCTTGCCCCTGGCCACACGCCACAGCAGACCACAGAAGGGGTTACCAGGTTGGTGTGAGTAACAGCAGGGCCAGCCACGGACCCCCCAGCCTGCTGGCTGGCACGGCCCATTTGGTTTCCACATGGAGTGAGCTGTGGATCTGCCACAGGATGGCTGCATCTTCTCACCAGATTTTGGTTCTTTGAGCAAGGTTAGAGGTTGGCTGTAAGTAAGTTGGTTCCCAGTCCAGACCCTGGCAGTACAGGGTAAGTTTTCCAGCCGAGATGGGTCAGCAGAGGGAGCCAGGAAGGCCAGGCTGGGGGGCCCTTCAGAGCCAGAACTCTGTGCCAGGTCAGGGCCCCTCACAGGCACCCATGGACCCCGGGGCACCAGCCTAGAGCCCAGGGAGACAGCCCCGGAGGAGACCAGGAGCTGCCTGCAGCCGTCTGCCATGACACCTCTTCCAAACCACTTTCCCTGCTCCTCCTGCAGTCAGGAAAACCTAGCACAAGACAAGGAGGAAAGCTTCGGCACCCTTGGGAAGCTGGGTCATGAGAGTGGAAAACGGGACCCAGAGAGGGAGAAGAGCAACTTGGAGGCCAGCACGCAGGAGGCACAGGAAGGCGAGCACGCGGACGGAGGCTCGCAGGAGGCCAAGGTCGGGCCACGCCGAGGAGCAGTGCATTTTTTATCTCTTGTCTTGGAGCCCAGCCTTCACTTACCTCTCTGGTCTTACAGGAACAGGAGGCAGAGTCCCTAAAGCTAAATGACCTTCAGGAAAAAGAGGCAAGAGCTTTTCCCTTTAGTAATAGAAGTAAGATGGGCGGCCTGTCCAAGTAGGATTTCTGCTGGAGCCTGGGCCTGCCCGGGACGGTGGCCTGGGGGTCAGCTCAGCAGGCGCCAGGCTGGGAAGCTGGACTAGGCCCCACTGTCTCCCTAGAGAGGCTTGGGGCCAAGCTCTGAGACTCTTTGCCCGATCCCAGGGCAGCCTGACCGCCACTTGCCAAACGTGCCGTCACTAAAGGTGTATGAGGCCCTGAGAGGAGGTACCCTCAGCTTGACCTTGGCCCAGAAAAACCCCAGAGCCCCAGGCTTGATGTGCTGTCCAGGAACACGTTGTGCTGTGGGGATTGTCACGCGGCCCTGCATGGAGGAAGGTGGCTTTTGTTCTCCCTCCAAGCTGTGTGGTGGGGATGGGAACACGGCTGGACATGCTGCTTGCCAGGCGGGCCTTGGTTTCATTCCAGGGCTCTTGGGAAGTCCTTCGCCCGCCCCCAAACACCGCCCTTGGAGTTGACTCAAGTGCTCCCATCGGGTACACATTCTGGGCTGGCCCAGGTGCCCAGTTAGAGGCCTTGGGGCAGCAAAACCCTGAGCCACTGAAGCCATTTGCATCCCGGGGGGGTCTCCTGCTCCTTGGTGTGGGTGTGGCCCACAGGAAGGCTGTGGGGGCAGCAATGCTGCCTTGTCAAACAGGGCTGGGGTGGGAGCAGCCGGGCTCCCTAGCTCTGGGCATTGCCCCATCTCCTGGAGGCCCCAGTTCTCAGAGGGTGAGGCTGGAGGAAACCCTCTGGGGTCTCAGGGCCCTGATGGGAGGTGATTAGGGAGGGGTGAGAAAGCCGTATCCCCTCTCCATCTCTACTGCCAGAGCTGGCCATGGACACCTCACAGTCCACACTGCCATCAGCTCTGCCCAGCGTCCCAGGAGCCCTCGTTCAGCATTGCCAGGATCTGGGGGCCTGGTGGTCATCACCAGGGTCTGCCCCAGCTGCCCAAGGGCCAGGAGCCACTGTTCCTCCCAGGGAATCAGCATTCCTCTCCAGCTCACCCAAGCCTGCCATCCACACCTCTCTGGTTTCCATTTGCAGAAAGCATCTGTGTTTGTGGAGATTGACCTGGGAGACCACGCTGAGGAGGTAAGAATGGAAACCCCCAAGACAAGCAGAGCCAAAGCCTTCAGGAAAGGGCCTGTGCTGCCTGGCAGGGCCAGCCTTGGAGGCTTTTCTGGGAACTTGCCCCACAATAGGCGTGTGCTGGACGGGGAGGCAGAGACCTGGGGCCAGCAGCTCCAGAAGAGCTCTCTGGTGTTGAGGATTGGTCTAGCCTCTTCCTTACCCTCCCACACTCCAACTCACACACACTTCGGCACTATCAGAGACTCTAGGGCTTGGGTTAACCCTCAAGGTGCCCATGGGTCCTCAGAACCTCTTGTGAGATCACGTTGGGGTGGTGAAAAGGGCACAGACCTGGAAGCTCAGAGACCGGGCTTTGGTAGATGTGTGGTTCTGTCAGTAAATGCTCAAAACAACTCATCATACTTCCCTGTGCCTCAGTTGTCTCCTCTATAAAGTAGGAATCATATTAGTACCTGCATCCCAGGGTTGTTTGGGAAAGCTCTCAGAGCAGTGCCTCATACCCAGGAAAGCTTCAGTATGGAGTATCATCATCATCACCACCGTTACTATCATCACCATCAACACCATCATTATCATAGCACAACCATCACCACCATCATCATCATCACCATCAACATCATCCCCAAAGGCATCATCACCATCATCATTAATATCACCATCATCATCACCATCACCACTATCACTATCACCATCGTCACCACCATTGTAATCACTTTCATCCCCCTCCTCCAGCCTGTCCGGCCATCCTCTCCGGCTAACCATCACCACCATCATCATCATCACCATCAGACGGTTGGATTAGTGAAGTGGTGGTGGTAATGTAGTAAGTCGTAAAATCGCACTGTCACTGTCTGCATGAGTCGCCTGCATTTGGCAATCACCATCACCATTATCACCATCATCACCTTCACCCATCATCACACGTCATTATCACCCAGCCATCATCCATCACCACCATCATTCCCATCCCCAGCGTCATCGCCACCATCATCACCATCAACACCCATCATTATCATGTCACAGCCATTACCATCATCATCATAAATCATCACCATCAACATCATCCCCAAAGACATCATCATCATCATCATCACCATCACCATCATTATCACATCACCACCATCATTCCCATCACCAGCATCATCACCACCATCACTATCATGACCGTCATCACCACCACCATCATCACTATCACCATCATCACTATCACTATCACCATCATCACCATCACCATTATCACCATCATCACCTTAACCATCATCCCCACCATTATAATCACCATCATCATCACATCACCACCATCACCATCACATCACCACCATCACCACCATCATCATCATCATCACCACTATCACCTATCACCATCGTCACCACCATTGCCAATCACCATCACCATTATCACCATACGTCACATACATCATCACGTCATTATCACCATCATCATCCCTCCCACCACCATCATTCCCATCACCAGCATCATCGCCACCATCATCACCATCACCATTGTCATCACCATCACCACCGTTATAATCACCATCATCACCATCATTCCCATCACCAGCATCATCGCCACCATCATCACCATCACCATTGTCATCACCATCACCACCGTTATAATCACCATCATTGTCACCATCGTCACCACTGTTACAGTCACCAGCATCATCACCACCACCATCATCATCCTTATCTATAACAGGAAGAGGCTGACTTAATGACCTGTCTGGGCCCTTCCAACACTAATATCTGGGGTGTGTTCCTCCATTTCTTTGCTGTGGTGCACAGTCATCATTTTGGAAGTTTCTTGAAGTTCTTTCTTGGCAAGTTTAAGCTCCTTCCTGGGGGTCAGTTATTTTCCAGACTGCACCTTCTCTCCCTTTTGCCCTCAGAGCATGCCACAAAGCAGAGAGAGCTGGTGATTAACCCCCAACAAGGCTATTCTTGGGGCACATGAGTTCTAAGGACTCAAGGAGGGCCAGCCAGTGGCACAGTTGGGCTGACAGGCCAGACCTGGTCTTCAGTGCCGGAGCCTGGCCACATCAAGGGTGCAGTTCCTTGGTCAGGTTCCCCTAACTGGAAATGTTCAGACAATAGACAGCCCTGTCTGATGGCAGGTCATCCAGGCCCAGGCAGCCTCTGTGCCCTGGCCTGATCCTCCAGCAGGTCCACAGGCTATACCTCAGTGCCCGTGGCTGACACCTCCCATCCCTTAAACGTCTCCACTCCCCACAGGTGGTCACCGATGCCAAGAAGGAAGAGAAGCCGTCCCAGATGGATGTGGGAGATCTGTCAGAAGACGAGTGAGTGATGCTTGTGGGCTCACACGAGGTGGGGGTAGGACTTTCTCCCCACCATGGTTTCTGATGTGCCCACCACGCCTTGTGTGTGGTGGGCAGAGCCGAGCCCAGACGGTCCCCCCTTCTCCCTGGGTGCTGCCGAGGCTCAGCCTCTACCAAGCCTGAGGGGCTGAGGGCAGGCAACAGGACATCGGACACTGGAAAGGCTCAGGGACGAGCTTCACGATGCCCCACCTCACCCCATAACCAGGCTGTGTCTCCTACCCGTCAGCCAGGAAAAGGACCTGATGAGAGGGGGGCAGAGGAGGGAGAGGAGGGAGGAGGGAGCGGGGAGAGGTGGTAAGTGCATGGTACTGGCTTCTCTTGTTTAGGTTTTAGCTGCAGACTTGGGTCCTGCAGGTGGTGGGAAGCTGTGCATACATGCTGGTGTCACAGCCAAGCCGGCTGCTCTCACAACGAGCCTCAGGCCCGGGGGCCGGGGCAGCCCTCGAAGAGATGACCCGTGTCCCCAGGCTGGACGCTGTGTAGGTCCAGGGAAGCCCCAAGACTTCCTGAGGCCCCGAGGCCCTCAGCCATGAAGAGGGGTGTGGGGAGGGAAGACATGTCTGGCCCATTGAACGGGGCCATGTGCCTATAGTGTTTTATTTTAAACAACACTCGAAAATACAAAAAGCAATTGTCCGAATGCCTACCACTCAGAACTAACAGTTTATGAGTATCTTGATTTATTACAGGTTTTTTTAAAAGGATGAATTGTTCTATTGATATGTAAAACAGTCACATGATACTAAACCTTCTTTCAGCCTGTAATCCCAGCACTTTGGGAGGCTGAGGCGGGCAGATCACAAGGTCAGGAGATCGAGACCATCCTGGCTAACACGGTGAAACCCTGTGTCTACCAAAATACAAAAAATGAGCCGGGCGTGGTGGCGGGCGCCTGTAGTTCCAGCTTCTCGGGAGGCTGAGGCAGGAGAATCGCTTGAACCCAGGAGGCAGAGGTTGCAGTGAACCGAGATCGTGCCACCACATTCCCGCCTGGGTGACAAGAGTGAGACTTCATCTGAATAAATAAAGAAAGAAAGAAATAAAAGAAATAAGAACCCATAGGGATTGGACACTCACCAAAACAAGATGTTACGAAGAAAATTTAAAAACTTTTAACATTTGGCCGGGTGCGGAGGCTCACACCTGTAATCCCAGCCCTTTGGGAGGCCAAGGCGGGTGGATCGCTCCTGCCCAGGAAAGCCGAGAGCCCTCAGCCGTGGCTATAATGAATGGGCGTCAGCTCATGTGCACACTTGTGTGTTCGTTGGAAAATGCTTTGGCAGGCTCCATCTCTCTCTCTTTTTTTTCTTTTTTTTCTTTTTTTTGAGACAGAGTCTTGCTCTGTCACCCAGGGTGGAGTGCAGTGGTGCGATCTCAGCTCACTGCAAGCTCTGCCTCCCAGGTTCATGCCATTCTCCCACCTCAGCCTCCCGAGTAGCTGGGACTACAGGCACCCGCTACCATGCCCGGCTAATTTTTTTGTATTTTTAGTAGTCGGGGTTTCACCATGTTAGCCAGGATGGTCTCGAACTCCTGACCTCGTGATCTGCCCGCCTCAGCCTCCCAATGTGCTGGGATTACAGGCGTGAACCACCATGCCTAGCCTCCATCTCTTTTATAATTAGCATGATCTGGATTTTCTTTTTCCTAGTGTTGCCTTTTCCTGTACCCACCCAACACAATACATCCCCAGGACTGTTAGAGGGAATCTACAGATCACGCAGAGCACTGCACACTCCACAGCATCACAGTAACTACAGATTGGAAAAAAACTTGACAACTAGTCAACAAAACTGGAACCACTTTTGTATATTATTTATTTAATTGTGCTCTTAATATTTCCCACCTTTTTGTACCCCTATTTATTAGAGTCCTTTCCACAAAAAGCAGTTTTGGACTAGAGTTGATTATAAATGTTTTTAGAGAATAATTCAGAACAGTGACTACAGATGCAAAACCTTAGAACAGCCACGGTTAAAATTTGATGAAAGCTTCTAACCAACAAGAAAATAGTTATTTCTATTACACATAACATTGTAAGAAAACAACCAAAATCATGACTGACAGTGTCACATCAGGACTGCCAGGCTTGTATAAATTTTACATAATCTTTAGAACATTCACATAGATAACAGGCCCATACAAATATAATTTACAATTGAACATTATCAAAATTATGACTGATATTATATTAATATAAATGTATGTAATTTTTAGAACATTTATATCAATAACATGCTCGCAATTACAACTGAAAGATGGTTTAGTATCATTTATCATTTGATGATGCTACCCATACAGTTTTACCAAATCGAATTGTTTAATCTGAAAAGACTTTATGTAGGATTTTGACTCTGTGGAAACATGCAAAAGATGTCAAAAGGTTCAAAACAATAAAAACAATTACAGATCATTTAAAAATAATAGTCACTCATTTAACCAGAGCGATTATCAAAAGACCTCACAGACAATTCAGAAAGTTACATTGCTATAAAACCATAAGTCTTTTAAAGCCCAGTGTCTTAAGTAATCAAAATTTAATAAAGATAATGCAGAAATTATCTTGATAAAATATAAAATATTTGTTTTTTAAGCCAGTTACCAAAAGGTACAGAGAAACCTGCAGTGTGATTGCCTCTCCTTGAGGGAAGCCCATGCAGGTAACCTGGAGAAGGGCACTGGAACCTCGCTGGACCCAGGAAAAGCATCTCCAGGGCTGTTGGTGTGCACTTGATTACAGACGACAGTAAACAAGGAAACTAGGGCCTTGAGCTGGGGAACACACAGCTCTTGGTAATAGCATGAGAAGTTTCCTGATTATGTTGAACAATTCAGACATGGCAAGAAAAGCCAAGTGTATAAATTGAAGCTGCACTTAAGGAAAACGTTGCTTAAACAGCAGAGTTAGAACTGGAGGAAAAAGTTGCAGGACTTGACAAAAAGTTTGAAGGAGAAAGTTGTTATCCCAGGCCTTCTGAAGGGGAGAAAGGAGCTGAGACAGCAACACACGACCTGCAAACCACACGTTGCAAGGGACAGCAGAAGCTGAGTTTCTGAGATGTAGATCTGAGCAGTTTCAAAAGAAATGATTTCAGAGTTAAAAAAAAACCTCTTGCAATTTCATTAAGAGCAAACCAGTACTTTAAGGAAACTTTGTGGTGACATAAGGGACTAATCTTTAGTTTTGTATTAATGTATATTTAATATCATAGCAACTTTTTTTTTTTTTTTTTTGAGATAGAGTCTCGCTCTGTCGCCCAGGCTGGAGTGCAGTGGCGCCATCTCCACTCACTGCAAGCTCCACCTCCCAGGTTCACGCCATTCTGCTGCCTCACCCTCCCGAGTAGCTGAGACTACAGGTGCCTGCCACCACGTCTGGCTTATTTATGTGTGCGTGTGTTTTTAGTAGAGATGAGGTTTCACCATGTTAGCCAGGATGGTCTTGATCTCCTGACCTTGTGATCTGCCTGCCTCGGCCTCCCAAACTGCTGGGATTACAGGCGTGAGCCACCGTGCCTGGCCCAAAGTTCAATCTTTAGAAAGACATATAAGTAATTCCCTTTTAATCACAGCCAACTTACATAATTCTTTTCATAAATTATCTTTTCATAAACCTTATCATTACTTTTACAGATCATTCTGACATGCTTGGACTTTCTGCTTTGTCCTACACATCTTTTAAAAATAGCCAGTCATTTTACTTCAGGATAAAAAGAGAGAGAACTTGGACAAGCCCACATGTTAACTCTATCCTCACAGATTGCCATTTGAGCTCCGAATTTTCCTTGATATAATTTGCTCATTGGTTTAAAATAAGCAAAAGAATGGGCCAGTGACAGCCTTAGAAAGCCTGGTATGCCTTAATGTTTGAGAACACCATTTTTGGCCATTTCTTCATTAAATGTCCTTTCATGAACCCCTCCCATCTAGAAGGGCTCTGTGTGTCACACGCCTGCCGGGCACTGACTGGAGGTTGGTCGTCCAGTGCCTGTTGTTTGACTTTGCCATGATGTATTTCCCACTGGGAGTCAGATTAAAAGGGGAAGCACCTGCTCAACCTGGCCAATCAGACAGCCTCACACATCCTAGCCAATCAGACAGCCTCACACATTCTACCCAATCAGCCTCACACATCCATTTCTTCTTAGAATCTTTTCCTTTTCTTCTTTTTTGAGAGGGAGTCTCACTCTGTCACCCAGGCTGGAGTGTAGTGGTGTGTTCCCAGCTCACTGCAACCTCCACCCCCTGGGCTAAAGTGATTCTCCTGCCTCAGCCTTCCAAGTAGCTGGGGCCACAAGCGCCACCATGCCCAGTTAATTTCTTATTTTAGTAGAGATGGGGATCTCCCTGTGTTGGCCAGGCTGGTCTTTAACTTCTGAGCTCGAGTGATCCACCTGCCTCAACCTCCCCAGTGCTGGGACTATAAGCATGAGTCACAGCACCTGGCCCCTAGTATCTTTCAACTAGGAGAATTTTCCCCTTAACAAATGAGAAGTCTCCATCAAGGAGTGGGAGTGGTGGCTGAAGAAACTCAGGGCTGTCAGCCAAGCAGGAGGTCTGAGCCCTAGCACAGCCCCAGGAGGACCCAGGAGAGACCCAGGGGGACCCGGGAGAGACACCAGGAGGACCCAGGAGAGACCCTAAGAGGATCTCATAGAGACCCCAGGAGAAACCCCAGAGGACCCAGGAGAGACCCTAAGAGGATCTCAGAGAGACCCCAGGAGAAACCCCAGAGGACCCAGGAGAGACCCCACCATGTGCAGCTGTGCAGGGGCCAGAGAGGCCCAAGGGCGTGTGCTGGGTCCAAGGTGCCAGGTCCCTGCAGTGTCCCAGGCAGCCCTGGGCAGCCTGCCAGGAGTCCCTTCATGGGCACCATGATTGCCAATTAAGGAAGAAAAATCAAGCTTTTCAAGAGTTTGTTTTACATGGAAGTCTTAGTGAGGACTGTGCACTGAGGCCGTCACCTGCAAGCCGTCTGTCCATTGCCCCATGCCGTGTTTCTGTTCACGGTTCCTGGACAGGCGGCGGGGGCTGGGCGCTTGCAGAATCACATCAAGGTTTGAGTGCGAGAGCATGTTTGGCTGTAGATTACAGAGGCGTAATCACGAACCGCAGCAGACGTCGTGTGCAGGAAAAGGCACAGACCCAGGTCACTGATCTTTTAAGAACGTAGTGGCTCCAGGCGGAGATGGAGGCAGGGCCCATGTGCTCTGTGCTGTTTTGTCTTCAGGCATCCGTCTGGAGACCTGCATGTCCTCTGAGTCAGGGTTCGAGCAGAAACCGGCAAACTGGGCTTCTCGTCCGCCACTCACCACAGCCCCTGAGGACGTGATGAAAGGGGGTGCATGCAGAGATGCAGGGGAGACCCCCAGTGCGCTTGATGAAAGGGGGTGCATGTGGAGTGCAGGGGAGACCCCCTGCGGTTGATGAAAGGGGGTACATGCGGAGTGCAGGGGAGACCCGCCAGTGCGCTTCGGGGTGCCTGTGGCCACAGTGCCGGCCCAGGACCCTTTCTCACCCACCTGACATCCTCTTGGCCTGCAGGATGCAGACCAGCTGGGTGTGCTGCATCCCGTACTCCAGCAGGAAGAGGGAGAAGGAGAGCGCCTAGTGCCCCGGACAGGGTGCTCAGAGCTTGACGAAGAAGAGGAAGGAGGCGGGGTGCGGAGGGGCTGGGGCACCGTTCAGAGGGTGGTCGGGCCACCTACGTGCCGCCCAAGAACCTTCTCTGCCAGGCACTGAGGTTCCTGTTTTCTTCTTGTGGGACTGGCCAGGCCTGGAAGGAGTGAGCTCACAGACCACGCCTTTGGACTAAAGATCCCGCCAGCCCTGAGCAACGCTGGGGCGCTGATAACCACACCAGGTGTGAGCCACGCCCGAAACCCACTGCCCACTGGGTGAGTGATGATGTGACCTTAAGAACACAGAATAAATGACGGGAAGAGACTCTTCCTCTCCACCAGCCGGAAGGGCTCTAGCCCTTCCTGCCCTGGCCTCTTGCTCTGTGGCTTGCTGGGTGGGGACAGAGGCCCCTGGGGCACAGCAGGGGAGGCTCAGCCCTTTGTGGGCCTTGTGGGAGCTGCAGCTCCTGGAAGCACCCCCACCAGGCAGGGGTGAGAGGTGCAGGGCAGGATGGAGCGTCTGCTGTGTCGCCAAAGTCCCTGCAGGAGCCAGGAGCACAGTGGACGCAGCTGAGCCCCGGCTGTGACTACGAGAGCAACAGAGACTGTGGTGCTGGCACTAGGATCTGTCCCTGGAGGGAAACCACATGCTCCCCACTCAGAGGAGGAAAGGGAGTCTTCCCAGGGGGTGTGGGAGCTCCAGGACATGCCTGCAAGACGAGTTGCACCAGAACCCACCCAGAGCTCTGTCGTTCAGACACACACGCATGCATATTCATATGTACACGACACACACGTGCTCACACATACCACACGCATGCACAGGAGGGCACGGGCAGGTGACATGCAGCATCTCTGATCCGGGTGCCTCTAAGGCCTCAGAGGCCACAGGCAGAGATGCTGTGTGCACTGTCTATCCCCATGGAGACACCTGGGGGCCGTCCCTGTGGTGCAGACGAGAACGCAAAGGCTCAGGGAGGATGAGCTCTGCCCATCACTCAGCCAGGGAGGGAGGGGCCCTTTTCAGGAAGCCGCATGCCACACGGAGCTTGTCCCCTGGGTACTTCGCTCTGATCAAAGTGGGGCACCATCCAGGCTGAAGAGAGAAAGGGGATCCCCGAAGCCAGCACCCGCCCTTGACTGGAAGACACCACAGACGGTAAGTGCCCACCAGCCCCAGTGTCACCATGTCCCAGACAACTGGAAAGGGGCCCTGGACCAGCTGTCCTGGTGGGTGCAGCCCTGCGGTCCACCTGGTAAAGCGAAGCCTCCACGTGGCATCACGGGGCTGAAGAAGCCAGACAGCTGCGGCCTGTCCCCCGTGAGGCGATGGTCGCTGCCATCTGGCTGCCGGGCAGTTGAGTGTGACTCAGTTGTGGCCTCTGTGCCAACCAAAAAGGCACCCAGAGAAGCTTCCGGAAAGATGGTTGGTTTGTCCCCTTGGTGGGGCAGGAGGCGGCAGCTCTGCCGGGTGGCTCCCAGCACCCTCCCCCCCACAGAGCAGGCATCGGCGTGAGTCCGTCCACCCATGTATTCGTCCTGTCGCCGCGTGTGGCTGGCCTCATTCTGGGTATGTCGGTGGCGGTCACCTCTAGGACAGGGAGGTCCCACGGCTCTTCAGACGCAGGAGCTTGGCGGTGGCTTAGCCGTTAGAATATGAGCCTTCCAGAGTCAGACACGCCTTTGACTTCTGTTGTGCTCTGAACTGATTTCCTCAAACCCGGGATAATTCTGTTCCTTCACTGGTGAGGTGGGGGTCACAGCGGCCAGGGAAAGAGCTGATCTGGGCCAGCACTGGGGTGGGAGGGGCTGACTCCTGGAGTGGTGATCGTTGCCATGGGGGAAAGTTCCACGTGCTGCTCCCCCGAGCCTTGATTCTGGGCACTCCAGGGCAGCCAGGCCTGGCTCACACCTTCCTGCCCACAGGGAGATTCCCGTGGAGCAGGCACACGCCCTGTGGAGTGTGAGTGGTCACCTGGCTTGGGCCCCAACTCCTATCAGAGAAGCGGGCAGGTCCCGAGCGAGCTGTTCAGGGCACTCAGCAGCCACACACCCAAGGAATGGGGCTGCCTTGTACCAGGCTGGGGGTCTGGGGAAGGGCTCAGTGGACACTGAGCTCAGAGTGTCCTGGCAGCGGCAGTCAGCGTCCAGGATGGTCAGTGGTGAGGCCAAGCCCCGTCTTAGTGGAGGGGACGAGGTTGGGCTTTGGAGACTGGGGAGCAGGAGACATCCTTGAGGAAACACATTTACAGGCTGCAGAGCCGGAGAGCAGCTCCTGCCACGTGGTCGATGCTGCTGAGGCCAGGGGCTGCCTCTGCCTGGCCGTCCCACCCAGCATGGGCGTGTTCCCGCTGCTGCCCGGCCGGTTGGGCTGAGGCTCGGGCAGCAGCGCTGGCGTCGGTGGAGTGGACCAGGCAGGGGCCCAGGGCAGGAACCCTCTGCAGATGCGCAGCCCTGAGCCCGGCAAGTCAGCTGCAGTGACATCCAGGGAGGGGTGGAAGCCCAGACTGCCCCTAGAAGGACGCTGCCCTTGGCCTTCAGTCCCATGGGGCACAGATGCTGCCTGGGCTTTCTAGGGCCGGCCAGTGGTCCTGGGGTGGTGAGCCCTGTTGCCCCAGGCCCAGCCTGCCTTAGTTTTATCCTCGGTCCCCACTGGCCCCTGACCTGTGCAGACTCCAGTAAGTGAGCAAGGCCGTCAGAGCCCTCCCAGGCTTCGGGGAGACGGTCCAGCCCCACATGGCTCCTGTGCCTCCGCGGTGGCCTCCTTGGAGCCCAGCTCTGAGCAGGCAGAGCGGCAGACACACAGCAGCACAGACCCTGGGCCGGCGCAGTTCCTCCAGCCACGCCAGCTGCACCTTGGCTGTGTCCCTGCCAGGCCCCAAACACCTGTGGCCGAGCCACCGGCCACCTCTTTTCTGCAGTGTCACCCCCCGCACCCCCCACCGCCAAGTGTTATGTGTGTTTTCACTGCAGGTGATGTAGGAAAGGGTGAGTCTCAGTTCAGCGTTCTGGTTCCTCGGGGGCTGTCGGAACGATCCTGTGTTCTTTCCAGGGTTTTCTCTGACTGGGTTTAGATGCCCACACGTGGGAACATCTATTCAATCCGTGTGCATACAGATGGTGCCATATACAGAGAGACATAGCTTGTCTTACAAGCGTGGGGTCGCGTTGCACCGTGGCTTTTTACCTTCTTAGCTTCATTCTGTCCCGAGCAGCCTCCAGGCCATCCAGGGATCCCTGCTGACCCCTGCCAGGCCCTGTCCGGAGTGCTGAACACAGAGCCGCAGGTGCTGCCAGTCCCCAGCCTCTTGGAGCCCCGGTCCCTGTGGGCGTCTTAGACGGTCGAGTTCAGCACATCTCTACGTGGAGTTTCGCAAAAGGCAACCACTTTGAAACGGAAGGGCTGCAGCGCCATGGCCTGGTGACACCTGTGAGTGACTACAGCGGGGCCTGGAGGAGGAGCAGGGGGGCGAGTGCAGCCTTGGGGCAGGCGCTGGGGCCTGGAGGAGGTGCGGAGAGCGGGGCGTGGCCGTGGGGGGGGCTGTGTTCTTCCAGGGTTTTCTCTGACTGGTTTAGACGGCTCACACGTGGGAACATCTATTCAATCCGTGCACAGATGGTGCCATATACAGAGAGACATAGCTTGTCTACAAGCGTGGGGTCGCGCTGCACCGCGGCTTTTTACCTCTTAGCTTCATTCTGTTCCAGTGAGCTCCAGCCACATCCAGGATCCCCTCGCTGACCCCTGCCAGGCCCTGTCCGAGTGCTGGAACACAGAGCCGCAGGTGCGCCAGTCCCCAGCCTCTGGAGCCCCGGCCCTGGGGCGTCTTAGACGGTCGAGTTCAGCACATCTCTACGTGGAGTTTCGCAAAAGGCAACCACTTTGAAACGGAAGGGCTGCAGCGCCATGGCCTGGTGACACCCAGAGTGACTACAGCGGGCCTGAGGAGGAGCAGGGGGCGAGTGCAGCCTTGGGGCAGGCGCTGGGGCCTGGAGAGGGGTGAGAGCGGGCGGCCGTAGGGGGTGGAGTGCGAGCGCAGGGAGGCGGTGGCAAAGCTGCGTGGAGTGCAGCCCTGGGGCGGGCGCTGAGGCCTGAGGAGGCACGGGAGGGGGCCTGGAGGAGGCACGGGAAGGGGCCTGGAGGAGGCGTAGGGAGGGGGCGTGGGGCGGGGTGGAAAGGGAGTGCAGCCCTGGGGCGGGCGCTGAGGCCTGGAGGAGGCACGGGAAGCGGGGCCTGGAGGAGGCACGGGGAGCGGGGCGGGCGGGCGGGGGTTGGTGCGAGGCCTGGCGGGCGCTGAGGCCTGGAGGAGGGAGGTTGGCGAGTGCAGCCTTGGGGCAGGCGCTGGGCCCTGGGCCTGATTGGGGCAGCTCTACGCCTTCAGTCTTGAGGTCTGGAACCCTGCCAGGACCTCCCCGAGTGGGCAGTGCTGTTGGCTGGGGGTGGGGAGTGGTGCTGGCACCGTGTGGCCGGGCAGAGCCGAGGCCAGAGCAGGTCCGTCCGCGCACAGTCCACGAAGGGACGTCGGGCGCCCTCCCAGCTCCGGCCCAGCCCGCAGGGACGGCCGTGCCCTTCTTTCCTCCCTGGCCGACAGCGCCACCTCGTGGGCTGCGGCGCCGGTTTCCGTCCGGGAAGCCGCAGCCACCGAGATCCAAGCGAGGAAGACGGATTTCCACGCCTCCTGCCCCCTGAGCGTTCGCTGGAGGGGACGGGGCTGTCCCTACGTCCCTCAGGATGATCCCCGCACAGATGCTGGGCGTCCCCACACCAGGACCCCACGCCTGTGAGGACCCCGCAGGGTGCAGACACCCCCGCCCCACAGGCCTCAGCCTGGAGAGCCCCCTGGGAAACCCTGTGCTGTAAATGGTGTGGAAACTTCCCCCGGCCCGTGCCCTTCCCACGTGACCCCACAAAACCCGCAGCCGTGGACATCCGAGTTCTTCTGAACGCTCGGCCTCCCCAGACCTCCCCAGACCTCCCCGGCGCCACGGACGTCCCGGGGCCCCGCGGAAGGGCGGCCCTGCTGGGACAGGGTCTTCTCGCTGGCTCTGCTTCTGAAGGCCGTGGTGGGTGCAGGGGTCACCAGAAACGGCCGGACCCCCGTTCCCTGGAGGGGGAGGGAGTCTCTCCCGTGCGCCGGCTCCTGCTGAACCCCAGACCCAGCTGTGGGAGAAAAGCTGCCCAGGGCCCTGCGGGAGAGGCAGGACGAGGCCTGGTGCACACCGGGGCAGAGGCTCCTGGGCTGGGCTGGGCTGGGAGGTCGGTCAACGAGAAGCGGCGATCCAGGATCACTTGTGGGAACCCTAGCTGGGAACTCCTGAGATTCTCTGGGTCTCTCCCTCCATCGCCAGCGGTTAACTTTGGGACAGCGGTTAACTTTGGCCCCTTCCTGTCACACTGGGCGGGGTCCAGGGCCAGCCACAGGTTTGGGGCTCCGTGGTGCAATGCTGTGTCCAGGTCCGAAAAGGGCAACGTGGAAGCAACTCCTTGGGGACAGAGGCCAGGCCACCGTGGGGAGAGGCAGGACTCAGCCCTCCTGGCCCTGAACACCTGGAGGGGTAGGCAGGGGGCGATGACCCCACTCTACAGATGGGAGCACCGAGGTCCCTGAGGCAGGAGTGAGGACCCCACTCTACAGATGGGAGCACTGAGGAGGCTGAAGCAGAGGGTGATGACTCCACTTTATAGATGGGAGCACTGAGGTCCCTGAGGCAGGGGTGATGACCCCACTCTACAGATGGGAGCACTGAGGAGCCTGAGGCATTAGTGATGACCCCACTCTACAGATGGGAGCACCGAGGTACCTCTGTGGGCAGCTTGGGGCCAGGCACAGACTGGCAGAGACTGGGAGCACAGCTTGTCAGGGCATCTGCAGGTGTGAGGGTCTGACACTGTCTTCAGGGCTTAGCCTTCATTCTCCCTGCAGGAGGGGACAGAATGCCCTTTGTCTTTGTAAGATATCACTGTAAGATAATATCACTGTGAGATAATAAATTTGCGCTGTTGGAAGCCACTGTTTGTGGTAATTTGTTAAAGCAGCAAATAGGAACCTCATAGACTCACGACTGAGAAAAGAACTTTTATCTGAGGAGACAAGTCCTTTTAATTATTGGGCCCAGAGAGGCGTTCGGTTGAGGCAGCAATCACGTTCTACTCCCCCTTTGAGCTGCGTGTTCATCTTGTGAAAGGAAAATCATTCTCGGGACCCCAAATCGCTGAGCCTAAGAGAGAAATCCAGCTGGGGACTGCGCCAGGCAGATCTACCTCCCATTCTCTTCCTGAATAAGGGAATTACACAGATTTTAAAACACTACACACCTCCCTCAAAGAAATTCCTTGTGGACAAAGGACAGACAGACCTCAAAGTCATCCCACTGCTCCCGTGGGACAAACGCACACAGCTAATCGCTTCCTTTGCCCTCTTGTTTCACTGAGACAGACTGAGGCAGGACTGACCATTCCTGTGAACTGTGCATTCAGTAAAAGGCTAATAATCAGAAGCTCGGAAGAATGCAGCCATTTGTCTCTTGTCTCCTAAGAACCGAAGCCGCCTCACTGCTTGGAGCTGTCCTGCCTTTTTGGACCAAACCAGTGTTCATCTGATGTATGTTGATGTCTCCCTAAAATGTGTAAAACCAAGCTCTGCGCCGACTGCCTCAGAGAGATGCTGTCAGGACCTCCTGAGGCCGTGTCATCCATGCATTCTTAACTTTGGCAAAATGAACTTCCTGAATTGACGGACTCATCTCAGATGCCTTTTGGTTTACAACGCTCCTAGGACGTTCACCTCAGCCGCAGCTGTCTATGAAAAGAGGTCATGGCTGCATCTGGATTCGGAAGGATCCCCAATGCTAACGATTGTTACCACAGCCAAGGGAAAGGACTCTAACCTGTACGGGTTTACGGCTGCCTTCTCAGCAAGCTTGAGATTGTAGGAGCCATACATGGCCACGATGTGGACTGCACTCTGGCTGGTGGCCGTGGCGTGACCACGGTCACTGCACAATCACTTGGATCCCTGGGAGGAGAGTCCCATAACCTTGGACCGGAGATCCCACGGGCATGAAACCACCTTTGCAAAAATTATGACAGTGAGAAAATTATGGCAGTGAAAGAGACCCGATTTAACCAACTCCCATCTTGCCTTTACCCTTCAAACTGCCCTTACCTATTCCTGGGCTTGGGGCAAGCTAACTTTGGGAGACATTTAGCTTATAGTTAAATGATAATAACCCTTCCCCAAAACTCAACATCCTTTGTAAAGCTATGGAGAGGCCACAAGGCTACGAGGACGAGAGGAGCCTGGATTCTGCTAAAATGGAGATATGAAGGATGACCTCCCATTATTCTGGAGCTCACAAATATGCAACTTCCCCAACTACTCCCTCAGATAACGTCGCTGTGGTAGAACCTAAGGCTGGCCTTTGAGATGTCTTTTCAGGTTTTTTGCGAGTCTGATGACTGATGGCCCCATCTGGACCAGTCAGCCTCCCTGGTGCCACCCAGAAGCGACTCGGGGCACAAGGACCATTTCCCGCACCCCTGTGACTGCACCCCCAACCAGCCAGCAGCGAGCACCTTCGCGTGCCCACCCCACTGTCTTCTCCCAGACCAGCCTTGAAAGACCCTGGCCTCTGCATTTTCAGGGAGGCCGATCTGAGCAATAACAAAACTCCGGTCTCCTGTTCAGCCGGCTCTGCGTGTGTGAAAGTGTTTCTCTATCGCGGTTCCCCTGCCTGGATGAATCAGCTCTGTCTGGGCCTTGAGTAAGAAGAACCCGCTGGCAGTTACCTGCTCACCTAGAGACTCCAAGCAGCCGCACTCACCTGGGCTGATCACTCAAGTGACTCCTGAGTTTCTCTGGCTCTTCAGTGAGGTCCGTCTCTTCCACCTCCGTCATTGAGCCTCTGAACCTGATGAAAATCCGTTACATGTAGATGTCTTTTCTATTCGATGCTAGAGAACTTTGAACTTAATGGAATCCTGCAGACTTTTTATCGACTCAGTGCGAAACAACTCTAGATGTTAAAATGCTACCCAGTGTGACTGTGCCCATTTCACATGGCACAAGGCTTGTCTGTTATCACAGTTCATAAAGCTGCTATTTTTTTTTTTTTTTTTTTTTTGAGACGGAGTCTCGCTCTGTCGCCCAAGCTGGAGTGCAGTGGCGCAATCTCGGCTCACTGCAAGCTCCGCCTCCCGGGTTCACGCCATTCTCCTGCCTCAGCCTCCCGAGTAGCTGGGACTACAGGCGCCCGCCACTGCGCCCGGCTAATTTTTTTCTATTTTTTAGTAGAGACGGGGTTTCACCATGGTCTCGATCTCCTGACCTTGTCATCCGCCCGCCTCGGCCTCCCAAAGTGCTGGGATTACAGGCGTGAGCCACCGCGCCCGGCCAAAGCTGCTATTTTTTTAGCTGACACTTGGCCCAAGCATGGCGCCTGGAGGCACAGGGCTGTTTATTTCTCTTTTAAAGCACCCTAATCTGGGAGGTATTTTTTTGCCAGTGGC